CCGTCGCCCTCCCCCGCTGATGTTGCCTCCCATGTCGCGCCTCGGTTACTTTTATTGGACCCCTGATCATGTCCTGTTTATTTCAATGGACCTTCCTCATGTTTGGGTCAAGTTGATAGGCCTCAATGAGCTGAGTTTGGTTAATGGACCCCCACCAGGTTTGGTTAAGTGTGTGGGGCCCCTATCAAGCCGAGTTAGTTAATGGACTCCTTTAGGTTGGATTTTGGTTGATGGACCCTTCTCGAGTTTGGGTTGTTTAGTGAGCTTGGGTTTAATTCTGGTTCAATGAGAGGATTTAGTAAGTCAGCGTGATTAGAAAACGGGTAGGTATTAAAACCCAAGGACGAACCCAATAGGCCAAACTAAATGTTCTGAACTGTGAATTTGACTGTAACTTTATAACTGTTGTGAATTTGACTGTGACTTTAGAACCGTTAAGAAAAGTGAAAACATTGAAATCTGTTTGATCGTTATCACTAAGGGATAACTGAATATGACTGAAATCGACTGTTGGTGAATCACTCCCTATAAATAATACTGGTGTTTCCTTTAACTAGAGTGGTTCGCGATTGATTGTAGGGATCACAGTGGTGAAGTACAATCATGGTCATAAGTTTTTTCACCACATATTGAACTGAATTATTTTCATTCACAATGGTAGTTGGGGGATCGTCTCTACCCTCTGCTGATATAAGTTAAAACAGTTTCGCACAAAAATCTGTAAATTCCATAACTGAATCGAATCGTTTGACTATCTAGTTAAAATTGTTGATTGATTAACTATGCTTAGATTATTTACTGAATTGAATATGTTTCTCATTGTTCCACTTTTATTGCTTATGTCTGAGATTGACATTTCAAAATATATTTTGACCAATTTAAAGTATAGTGTTTTCAAAGGTATTTTAAATAAACCTATTATGTGACGTTCCCTAACTGTAAGTTCACTGATTTTAAAGGTAACAACACGTTTTGAAAAAGAAAACTGTTGAAACTTTAGTAGTGTAGTTTAAATGCTATTTCCGTTACTGAGTTTTATAGAACTCATCCCAATCCATTTTCTACCAAACGATGTGGAAAGTGAAGAATCGCCCCCGAGCTGCCTTTTGAAGCTTGTTTAGATCCATTTGCGGATCTATAGTGGACATTTGAGTGCATATAGATGATGTACTCTCATGAAAAATTAATTTATAATGAAAGAAATGGCTAGATCAAGCGTTGTATATATTTTGTTAGCGAATTTCTTGGCTTTAGATGTCTTTGAACATCAAATTTTTGTAAGAGATGACTTTTTTTCTGCTGTATAATTCTTTTATGCACTCATATTTGTTCTACTATTGGACACCTTTACCCACCGATGTCGTTCTCTATTAGCATATACGATTGAGTTAAAGTAACTTAATTTAAAAATGCTTTTATTCTGGTTATCAAACTCACTGACTCACTGGAGCATGATTCACTGGAGCATGAAAAGAGGCATGTACTAATCTAGTTCTAGTTTCTCGCATTGAGAATCTTGAAACCATTAAGCGTCTGTAATCTCAAAAGATAAAAAATAAAAAAGAAAAAAAAAAGGATTTCACCAAATCTCCTTGGATCATCGAGAAAAAACATGAAATGAACTACAATCAATAACAAAAATGAAATTGCAGCTAATACAATAATTTCTCTTTACCAAATTGAAAGAGTCAAAACAAATTGTTCAAAAAGTTCTAGAAAAAAATACCATGAGATTTTTCAAATGATGACCAACAACATCCTCATCTCCGAAATGGATTATAGTGCGGTCAATACTGGCATGGGCAAAGAGAGAAGAAACTTCAATTACTGGCAAGGGCTTGAAGGAAGGAGAAAACAAAGAGAGAAAATTCATGAGCCCTCTCCATAGCTGTAATGAACTCGCCTCTTCCCCATTATCTCCGCCATTTCTTGCTTCACAGCAAAGGCACGAATTTCATTAGACGATTATCATTGAACATTAACCTGCGAAATCTGTCTTAGTACTCAGTATCTCTTTTATCAGTTTAGGTATTATGTTGGAGAAGGTGCTTCTAGAGTAGCAGTGCTACCTTATACTTTGTTTGGACGAATTTTGTGGTAGATAATTAATGTACGGTAATGTATAATAATTGCACAAGATAGTAATGACAAAGTTATGCTATATTTGAGAAGATTGTGTATTCATGTATAGTAATGACAACTGTTTTGTTTGGATTGATAACATGGTATAGTAGTATATTAAGTCAAATTATTAATTTATCCTTATGTAATATTAAATAATAAAAAAAAGAAAAAAAAAAACTCATTTAACTTGTGACTCAGTTATTTAACTTGCAAAATTATCTAAATTGTAATTTTAAAGAATTTTTTTTTCTTAAAATAGCTAAAAAAAATTTACTATAAAAAATAAAATTTTAATTTTTTTATAATTTATATAAAAACTTATTTTAAAATTAGAATTTTTTATTTATAATTATAAACTGAAAAAAAAAATTAAAAATTATCTATTGTATAATATTTATTATTATTATTTCTATAAATTAAATAAAATAAATAAATAAATTTTATTAATAACAATTCTCAATTTTGATAAATTTTCATAAAAAAACAAACTTCAAAACTGTAACCGGGCTACCTACTGGCCTAAAAGAGATACAGCGGCAAGAATGTCCAGTTGTGAGCCAAGCTTCTCCTCTGAACTTTTTTGTTTCTGGGTATCGACTAGGCTGTAGGCACGAGCTGTCTTTTCCTCTTCTACTTTTTTGTAATTGAAATTGGTTCGTTTAGACCTTTATAAACAATTAGATAAGTCAATTTGTTTCACAATTAGATTTCTTTTCTCACTTATTGAAGGTGAAATTACAAAAACATAATCTAGGGTCAGACAAAATTTTTATCTCATTTGTATTGTATTCGCACTCTATAAAATTGAAATTCGAATTTAATATAACAACTTACTTTAGTAATTGTAAATTTGAATTTATATTTTATTATTCAAAGATAACATTTGGTTAAGATGTGTAAATTTGATACAATGAAAAAAAAGAAAAAATTATTGCAGTTAATTATTTCAATTGAAAAAAGAATGATTAATATGAAACAAATACATGGAATTATAAACAGATCGAATATATATAGCAGCTTCAACTCTTAACAGTGGGGGAAAAAAGATCAAAATGAATGTTGAAATGAAAACCAGAAAACTAAAACACACCTCTGCTCAAAATGACTCCTCCTGTGATGAAGTCTTTAGGCGAACAAAATGAGAACCAACTAAAAAAAAAAGCAAAATTGCAAACAAAAAGCAACTACTCATGCCAAAAACCTCCTTCTAGGATTTATTCTTTGGCATTTTCAATTGTCTTCTTCCCTCATTCTCACCAGTTCTTGGAACCACCGGTGATACTGAGCATCAATGGCATCAAGCTCCAACTTCAGCTCATCATATTGATCTTTGTCTGCCAGGAAAGAGAGCAGATGCTTGATAAGCTCAAATCTTTTGACATCCCAGAGCATGAGTCAATAAAAGATATTTCGGAGGTCTTTGAGGATTCCATAAACAGTCTGGATTCAACAATGTTGATATCATCTCTCCTCTGTTCATGCCATTCATTGTGATCATAAACCCCAAAATCTGAGCTGAAATCATTTGTGCCAGAGCACAAGTGCAACTTATCATAACTCTGATCATGGGATTCCATAACCTTGGTGTTGATGCTATCAACAGTGACATCAAATTCAGCAGATATATCTGAATTTGCAGCAGATTTGTTAGTTTCTTGATTTTTCATAATGTCCACATCTGGGAGCACATGCTGCCTGCTGACCACAATTTGAGAAAATTTCCCTGATTCATAAGAACTATTTGGTTGCCTTGACGTACTTCCAAATGAAGAGTTCCAACCTGCACAAGCTTCACTATCAAGTCATCGATTAACTCAGCTATGAAAGTCACATCTTCGTGTGATAAATCAAGTTGCTCAACCGTTTCCTCAACTATGACACTGCAGCATCTGAATCTAGATAAAAAGTAAAATGGACAGTACTTGCCTGACCTGTAGGAGAAACAACTCCAATTATAGATCATTCATCAATAAATGCAAAAAGACTTGAATTTTCATAATGCAGATTTACTTACCACAACGATCAGCAATCCACAAGGTAAAGAAATTGTATCACCATCATCCTTTTCCCCTCTTAGTCTGAACTCATTGCTTGTACTGGACCTCTGACATTCATGGGTTGGAAACAGATTACTCCCTTCGTCACTTTTCACACTGAAACTAACCGAAAGCTTCTTCAAGTTAGGATCTATGTCCATAAGAATAGGTTCTGACCCTGGCAAATGCACAGAAGAAGGCTCTTTTGGAATTTCAGTTGCAAGGAATGGATCCTTCAAGAGTTCTATAGTAGGCAATCTCATTGATGCTGGAACAAAACATTTCTCTATAAATTCGGGATCCTTCACTTTGCCAAGGGATAGAGGCTTGATACCCGGCAAGAGTACCTACACAATAATGTAAGATCTCAAGGTTTAATATGATATTAATTAAAGACCAACATTTGAGAATTTGATGATATTACCAATAACACTGCTGCATGACAATTGCTAATCCGAAATCTCCAATGGGAACACTGATTTAGGATGTTTGGGTAATAACCTCTTCTATTCGAAGCAAACATTAATTTAAGAAACTACGGGCAGAGGGTTTCTTAATTGAAAGCAAAAACTGCATCAGCTTGACGTTTATCAAATTCTTTCTATAGTTGTTTGGGAGAGAGCCTGTAGTGATCAAGCCCATCATTATATTTAACAGGCTTTAAAGCCTCCAGATCTCCACCAATGAGCCAATTTCCAGATGGGGTAATAACCTCTTCAACATATGGCAATCCTGGTGCAGTTGTTCCCCATGTTCTGGCAATTCTTTCTTCCCTGTTATGCTTGTATATTTCAATGCTGAAATAAAATCAGAGCATAGAAAATTGCAAAAATGACTTAAACTGAATGTAGTATTTAGTGAAGATTTAAATGTTCATTTACATCTTATAAAAGAAAACAAGAAAATAAAACGTAAATGGAGAAAACTTTCAAAAATAAAACCAATCGTTATCAAGGGCATAGTGTCCTCAAACCAAAAATTGTACTTTCAACACCCAAAAATACTTCCATGGAGTGGGAAGAAGAATTATTAGCCCATGTGAAGAAAGTAGAACGAAAGAAAAGAATGGATGTTCCCATCCTTTCATTTATTTGGGTACAAGACAAAAACTAGTAAAAAATACTTCTCCTAATTTTTTATCTTTGCTACTAATTCTTTATTTTACTAGTAGACATTATTGACTATTTTCCAATAACTAATCATTCCCTTTACAATGAAATCAAACCAAAACTATATATATATATATATATATCCTTCTCTTTCCTATAATTTTTCAATTTGTTATCCAAATTGTCTTCCATTTGCTTCATTATTCCTATTTGAAATGCATTTTGATTCAAATTTACCTCTTTATATTGTATTTACATTCCTATTCCACGAAATTGAAATTTTAAGCAAACTGTTTTCTATAATTGTTGATGTTCATATTTTCCAGAAAAATTAACCTCACTTGTCTAGAATCCGCCATGAGTAACTATCCACTGCTTCCTCCCTACACTCCCAAATAATATATCAATTCAACTAAACTCCAACTGTACAACAACACTCAGACACCAGACAAAAAAATGAAAAACCAGAAATTAGGAAGTCAAATAGATGCTCCAACCGTTACATTCAAGTTCGTCAAAACCTAGCTAAATGGCATGTACATTGTACCCATCAAATTGTTTTTTTCTTTTTCTTCTTCTTCTTCTCCTATTTTCCTTCCAATACAAAGGAACAACATTATACACCCCTTCCATTCACAATCAAATTAATTTGCACAAAACATGGCAAGTGTTTACTACATCGAAAAAAAAAAACACAAAAACACTTATAAGCTATACAACATTAAAACAATGGACATGAGGAAAAACTTACCTCCGTAGAGTACCAATCAAATCTCCTTCAGGCCCGACCAGCGCAACATTCATGGACGATCCAATTCACTCCTTAATAGCCAAAACGATTGGTAGCGACATATTCACAATATTCCCATTTTCATCCTCATGCAATTAAAATGCAAACTCTGCAAATACTCATTTTCCCTCATGAACCCTCTCAACGGATTGGCCCATCCCTCGCTGATCACATGTACCCATTCAACGTCGATCTTAGAAAGCCTCAGTTTCGGTAATGACTCGGCCTCAAGCGTCTTGGAAGTCCTCTCACTCTCTGGAACCACCAGATCCACCACGACAGCACCATCTGGGTCGATTAATGAACTCTTAACCACCATAGGAGAAGAAGAAGAAGGAGAAGCTTGCATTCTAGGTTTACAGACTAAATGAAGTAATTGGTTTTTGTGGCAAACGTGGTTTGTTCTCTTTAACAAAGATGGAGACGATCGCAACAAGCAGAAGCAGAATATGGAAGCGGAAGAAGCAAAAGCAGATGAGAAGAGGACAATGGAAGCTGCAGTGAAAAAGAAGAATTGGGGTAGAAGAAAAACAAAATTTGAGTTACCGTTGCCTCCACAAAAACCATTTCCCCTCATTTTCTCTCCTTCCAAACAAGACAAAATAAATACTGTCTGATAAACGGCTTCTCTTTCTTATGGGCCTCTTAAGCTTAATCCAAACCCAATTTTTTTTCTGGGCTTGGGTTGATCTAATTGAGATTGTTTTATTTTATTTTATTTTATTTATTTATTTGGGGCAAAGACGATCTTGGTTTTATTCTATCGCTCTTCCAACACTGACCAGTGTGGCGGTTAGCTCTGGCGGAGCTGAGAGGTGGATCTTCCATTGAAGAGCTTTGAAGGGAATACAAGTTCGAAGAATTCTTAAAAAAAAATTAAACAATTTTAAGAGTCTGAGTTATGGGGATTGATTATTACAAAGTTCTGCTGGTTGACCGGTCTGCCAAAGATGATGATTTGAAGAAAGCGTATCGTAAACTGGCAATGAAGTGGCATCCGGATAAAAACCCTAACAACAAGAAGGAAGCCGAAGCCAAATTCAAGCAAATCTCCGAGGCTTACGACGTAAAATGGGAATCTTTCCCTTCTAATCCCAAGTTTGCTCCCTGCATTACCTGTATCTTTCTCAAACTTTAATCTTTCTTGGGTTAATTACAGGTACTGAGTGATCCACAGAAACGAGCGGTGTATGACCAGTACGGTGAAGAGGGACTGAAGGGAAATATGCCGCCTCCAGGAGCCGGTGGGTTCTCAGGGTTCTCGGGCGGGCCGGAGGGAGGCTCGACCACGTTCAGGTTCAATCCGAGAAGCGCCGACGACATTTTCTCAGAGTTTTTCGGGTTTACGAGCCCTTTCGGAGGGATGGGAGATATGGGCGGGTTACGGGCCAGTGCGTCGGGGCTTCCTAGGGGTATGTTCGGGGATGATATTTTTGCCTCATTTCGGTCTGCAGCCGGAGAAGGGTCTGGCGGAATACCTCGAAAGGCTGCGGCTATAGAACGGACATTGACATGCAGTTTGGAGGATTTGTATAAGGGAACTACTAAGAAGATGAAGATTTCAAGGGACGTGACTGATGCCAGTGGGTAAGCTGCTTATCAGACTGGTTTTAGTTTATTAGATTTTTGCAAAAATGATCTTTTTGTTTGCTTTCTTAGGTTTTTATTCTTGGTATATACATTAGTTTGATTTCCTTCTTCCATGCAATTTTCTGAGTATTTTATCAATCCAAGCGTTAATGATATGAAGGAATTGATCTAGATTTGGAGTTATATCTAATGACTGATTTGAATACAATAGCTTGAAAAGTTGAAGATTGTCAATGAAACTTACCCAGTTCTTTACCTTCTTTTGTAGAACAGTGTTCTTGATGATTAGGTGATAATTACACTCAAAGCTGAACTAAAGGAATTAGTTTTACTATTTATGTCCTCAAACTTCTCTCATGAATGAGCCTTTTAAGACATAAATCTTCACTATTTATAACCTAATTTACTTCTGTACATGTGAGTAGGATAACAAGATTAACATATGATACTTGAAAAACATGAAACTTAGCATTTAATACTCTAACACGATCTTGCTAGGTCTGATATTCATTGGAATTGGCAAGCTATATTTTTGTGATCGACATGATGTTTGTTTTTGGTGTATTTGTCTTTTGTTGTTCATTGATTTCGAATCCTCTATTTGGATGATTCAAGGATGGCTTCTTATTCTCAACCACGGTATTTCTTTCATTCTTTCT